CCCCTCCTCCCGCGGGTGATAATACCATTATGCTGCTATCCCGCTCTGCCTTTCGAAACGAAGCTGTCAGTAACAGGACAAAGCTGTTCAAAATGAACCGAATTGCCTAGGCGGATCGTTCGGCAAAACAAGGTCCAAAATGGGTCTGGATTTTAAGATTATGAGAAGGGTTTTTGCCGATTGCTCGACAAAATTGCCTTACTGCCAACTTCTTCCCAGCACAGGATCGGATTGAAACAGGCAAATAAATATTTGCGGCTTTTTTTTTCCAGCACGAGCCGTCCAGTCAGTTCCGAAACATGTTGCCAGCCGTTAATGATCTTGGCTGATTTCCGGAATTGCTAGCAGTCGATTGTACACTCGTGAGACGCTTCTGCATATCAGAGCTGTGAAAAACCTATTGCCCTGGCCGAGCCTGATTCGACATTATACGCCTCTGTGATTCCTTTTTTTGTGTAATCAAACTTGCATCTCGGTTGTGGTCAAACAATAGCCCACATCTCGCGCAACGCAAACGCGGATCTCGTTTCAGTTGTTGATGATCAACTCCCTTTCGCTCTATTGGACTAACCCTGCTTTTTGGCGTTGGCCAATTTTCCATTCCATGCGACAGGGCACAGTTGTGGCAAATGGCTTTCCCTGACACATTGACTTCAATATGTTGTAGTTATGCTTGCTGGGCTTGCTGGCCAACTTTTTGGAGAAAAATCAAATCCGGAGCTATCATGGAGTTATCGAACGGCCCTATGAGTATGGGCGAAAAACGCGAACTAATTAAACCCAGCCAAAAAGCAAAGCATGTCATGAACGCCACCATCAGAAGATGAAGGAGATCCTCTGATTTTTGGCTTCTCGTCAATTATGATCACATCAGCACACGTACATAGTTAACGTTAGTTAGAGTTAGTTACACATATTCCCCGAGCAACTGCAAGACATTTTGCTTTTTTGCGCAAACCTTGATGCAGACATATATTTCTTGTGCATGATCGCATCGATCAGAGTCTTCTGGCGTCGTGGAATCTGTTTATCATGATGATCTCCTGCATATCAATTGCACCCGCAGCTCGCGCCGCCCGAAAATCATATAACGGCTCCTGCGTCCAGAGTGCATGGCCGAATGGGAGCCCATTGCCTTGCACAAAAATATTTTTCCCAATTGCTTACGCATACCATAGGAGAGTGGAACGCCCTGAGTTGTTCAACTATAAAGTAGCACGGCAGAGAGAAAGATGATTGATCGTTATCATGATGTATGTGCAAAATTAAATGAAGGGAATTTCCTTTTGGCAGCCCAGTCTGCATTCAAATCAAGTTATTTGCCTAACCCATTGTACGGTGCAGTCGGGCAGTACATGTGCATACATATGCGCTCCCCTTCAAGGCTCACTTCACCTTCAACTACGTAGCATGCTATCTTGTCGCTGGTTTCAAAGCGCAACACAACATCCAGTCCACAGCTGTCTCATCATTCGGCATCCAGTTCCAATCCATACATACAGAGACGGGATGTTAAAAGGCTCCGCAGCTGCCTTCTGCCTCATCAAGACCTTGGATATGTTTCCGTATCTGTTACGCGGCATAGTCGATATGCAAATGCTAACCAGCTTCCGCAAATCTGCCAGTCATTCACAGCAATGCCTCAGCTTGCTCTGTTGCTATCAACAGGGTTGGTTAAAATCCGATAAACACCACACGACTCGCTTAGCGTTCCCAGCATCGAATAAATGTCCGAAGATGGGATCTTAGAACAACTTAACATATAGTCTAGAACCAACTTAGTCGCAAAAAATAGTTGGATTTTTCCCTCTCGTTTTGTTCAAAGCATCCGTTATCCCTGAAAGCCCAGAGTTCCATGCCAAAAAAAAATTTTTTTTTTCTTTTTTGCTTTTTCTTTCAACTAGTGATTCCATAGTGGGGCGATGTATCTGGGGCACTGGGGGTTTTCGTCCATATTCTGGTTTCCACTCCTCATCCATGGATGCCGTGGGGAAAATTTGACGGGAAAGAAGCAAAGAAAAGGATATACGAAGGAGCCCACTCTCCTGGGTAGGCAGCTTGATTGGGCGGGATGTTATAACATCCACAACTATCAATCAATCCAAAGCCTGGTATGTTTTACACGGAGACAATCCGTAGAGCTCAGTGACTCTCCTTACATTGAATTCTGAATGGGGTTTTCCATTCCTTCCAACCCTATCACCAGTCTGCAGTCTGCAGGACACTGCTGAACAGATTGAGTGGGCTGAATCGTGTGGCTGAAGGCACTGCCGGTGTCTTATAATTTTTTAAGGTATCTCCGGCTTTGGATGGCTGGCGCCTGGTTGTATAGCTCCTTTTTTTTTTCGCCCTACTAAAATCACGTCTTTTGGAATACGTTTTTTGAAGCCTTTGACACAGGTCCCACCCTCTCTGAATAAGGCTGAAGCCGCCAGAGGGCTCGGAGTGGAAGAAAATGTCGTATCGTGGTACAACTATACTGGCGGGAACAATCGCCTTCCGACCATAAATCCCACATGGTGCCAACTTTTTTGACTTTATGGATAATTTCGATACTGTTCTCTTCCTTTTG